GTTGGAGATAAGAGTCTCATGGACTTTTCTGCCCAGGCTGACTTTGAACTGCGATCCTCAGATCTCAGCCTCCTGAGTAGCTAGGATTACAGACATGAGCCACCAGTGCCCAGTGAGAATTTTATTTTAACCTAAACAAGATATTAAAGAATCATTGGAAAGTATGAAAATCTTGAATGGAAGCTGTACGTCAGATGCTATTGAACTAATGTTAGGTACTGTCATAATTTTATGATTAAGCTCAGGATATTGTAACTTCAAGTAGTTAAGAAAATTGTGTGTGTGTGTGTGTGTGTGTGTACACACAGTGGTGGGAGGAGGGAGTTTATGCATACAAGCTAGGTGAAATATAAGCCATCAGCAATTAGACTGCATGGATTTTTTGCTATTTTGATTCTTTTCTTTAAAATCAAAGTTTTTGAGCTAAGTTGGGAAGAAGAAAGCAATTGCCTTAGGTGGCCTCTTCTTGACCATTCGGGGTCACCTGTTCACACTGCCGGCTTACCATGCATGGGATAAGAGCTTGGGTTCATGTAACTTCTTTGTTCACTTTCGCATCTTGCTTTTGGTTCCAAAAGAAAGTTTGAGCAGTCTGGGAAAAGACTTTAGCTTCCGTTTTTCCAAACATAGATCAGGGAGAGCTGTTCAAGACCACACGGAGACCAGGAGGAAGGGCAGAAGGGGGGTTCAGGAGGCCCAGGCTTCCACTTCCAATCTGGATCCTCTTCTGGGGCTGTTTTCACACAGCTTTCAGAGCCTGTCCTCCCAAACCACAGGGAAACGTGGGGGGGCACCTAGCTCTGCCCTGCCTCCTTCGCCATCCTCACTAAGGTGCCGGCCGGCTCCAGGAGATTGGCTGCTCCCTGGATGCAGTCACTCCTGATTGGATGATGGCGGCAGCAGCGTCGGGAGATGGGCTCCAAGAAGGTGAGCTCTGCCCTCAAATCCTGCATCTGGAATGCAAAGCAGGAACTATGGGAGTTCCCATCAGCCCCCTCCTCCCTAGTGAGGTAGCCTAGTTAGTGGGCTGGGCTTCAGTCTCCCCAGGGTGAATGAGGAAGAAGAGGGGTGACTCATGGTCCTGGGAGCCTGCCCTCAGGGTCAGCACTTCTTAAGAGTCCCAGCAGTGGAGGGACAGGGCAACAGGTGGTCTCCCTGAGGTCCCTTCCTAAGTAAGGGCAGTGGTCCCTATACCTGCAGCTGCACTGAGCACGCCTACAGGACTTCAGAGAACAATAACACAGGAAGGGCCCAAGGGAACTTAGGAAGATGGGGTTGGTGAGTTAAGGTAAGAGGTGAGAAGGTGACCTGGGCACAAAGAAGCAAGGTGGCGAGCTCAGGCCGATCCCAGGAGCCAAAGGCAAAGTCCAGGCAGGGAGACAAGGAACCCTGGAGCCCTGGAGAGGCGGCAGCTGGGCTGGGCTCATAGCTGCCCAGAGAATCTGCGTGGCTGGGCAGGCGAGTAAAGGCCACCAGGAGAAAGAGGTTAGAGAGGCCTTGGAGACAGACAAAGCAGCCCAGAGGCAGCCATATTTTCTTGGTCAGCGTGGGGCTTGAACTCGGGTCCTGACCACTGTGAGCTCTTTGCTCAAGCGTAGTGCTCTATCACTTGAGCCACAGCCTCAGTCCCTGTTTATTTTTGCTCATTAATTAGAGATAAGAGTCTCATAAACTTTTCTGCCCAGGCTGGCTTCAAACCACAATCCTCAGATCTCAGCCTCCTGAGTAGCTAGGATGATAGGCATGAGCCACCAGTGCCACCAGCGCCCAGCCGTGGTGGAGTTTTGACTCTTACTCCTGATACAGTAGAAGCCAGTGGAAGGTTGGGAGCTGGACTTACATCCTGAAAGGCCCAGTTGGTCTTTGGGGGGCGCAAAGTGTCAGGGTGAAGTTGCTCACGTATGGGAAGCTGCTGTTTGACTTTGACCAGAGATGCAGGGGATGTCGGGTGGGAACTTGGATTGTGCCCCACAAGGGAGTGTTCCGGCCCTGGACTGTGGGGAGGACGAGACTGTGGGTGGTGCCGATCAGAAGCCAGCTAAGTGTGTGGATGGAGGAGTCCAGGACGTGGGGTGGTGATAGAAGCCTGGGCTCTACAGAGCAGCCACAGGGTTCAGCAAAGCAAAGAGCCAGGCACCAAGGTTCAGGCCCAAAATCCTAGCTACTTGGGAGGTGGTGATCTGGGTTCAAGGCCAGCAGCAGCTTTTTTTTTTTTTTTTTGCAAGACCCCATCTTGACTAATAGCCGAACACCTTGGCACCTGTCATGTCAGCTACAGGGACAGCACAGGGCTCCGGGCAAGGTGGCCACTCCTGTCATCTCGTCATACAGGGAATGCACATAGAAGGACCAGAGCCCTGGCTAGGACAGGCATGACTTGAGACCCTGTCTTGAAAATAACCAAGACAGCCAGGCACTGACAGAGTAGCTTACAAGCAGAGAGCATGTCTAGCAAGTGCAAGGCCTTTTTTGTTTTTTCAAACGGTTCCAGGTGGAAGCCTGCACAGCTACCAAAGGAAGAGAGCAGAGAGTTCAGTGGGGGGCAGCCTGGGGACAGGAACGGCACCCAGAGAGGCCAGAGGAGAACCCAGTGTCCAAGCGGGGTGTAGACGGCGCTGCTGCATGTAAGCCAGCATGACAGCACTGACAGACAGCAGCAGGAAGGTCACGGCGACCTTGGCAGGTATAACTCACACAGAGGTGGAAGAATCTGGAAGGAGAAGAGTTGCAGAGAAGTTTTTTCTTGAATGAATTCTGTGAATAGAGGATTCTCTTCCTCAGTGGAGAAGGAAGTGGGTCCAAGAAATGCTGCTTTGAGAGTCGTTCTGAGATGGGAGAGAGAGTAACTCATTGCATGTAGTCCGTGCTCCACAGAGAAGGGAGAAACAGCTGCGGGCTGCCCTTGAAGGGCTGGGTGCCTCTGGCCAGTCATGCGGGCAGGCAGGACTCAGCCGCTGCTGGCTACCGGTGGGTCTCAGGAGGTCAGCTCCTGGTCGCTTCTGTTTCCTCGGTGATCAGATAAGAAGCTCTATGGTCAGGGCTGAGGGAAACGTGAGGACAGAGTTGCCCCCATGGTGACCCGGTGACAGCCCAGATTCGCATAGAGGTCCCAAGAGAGTTTCAGCCTCTGTTGTCCTTGCTCAGCCCGACAACACAGTCCCTCATCAAATGGACATGAGATATTCCAACAAAAATTTATTCACAGGGCTGGGAAGGTAGCTCAGGGGTAGAGAGTTTGCCTCACATGCATGAGTTCCGAGTCCTCAGCACCACCTAAGCAGAAAAAGCCAGCAGTGGTGCTGTGGCTCAAGTGGTAGAGCGCTAGCCTTGAGCTGAAGAGGGACAGCACCCAGGCCCAGAGTTCAGGCCTCATGACCAACAACAACAACAAAAAAAATATTCACAGAAATAGGCAGCAGGATGTGGACCTTGGATTCGGCCTCCAAGCCAGTGGCTCCCGCTGAGGCTCCCCGGAGCAGCAGCATCTCCACTACCTTTGAACTTGTTAGAAATGGACAATCTTGCTGGGCGCCGGTGGCTCACGCCTGTCATCCTAGCTACTCAGGAGGCTGTGAGCTGAGGATCACAGTTCAAAGCCAGCCTGGACAGGAAAGTCTGTAAGACTCTTATCTTCAATTAACTACCAGAAAACTGGAAGTAGCACTATGGCTCAAAATAATAAAGTGGGTCATAGATTCTTGGCCTCACTTGACTCCACCGTGTACAACACAACCCTTCAAATGCAAGGACCACACATATGTGGTCCTAGAATCCTGGAAAGCATCCCTGCGTGCCACTGGACCAAAGAAAGGCAAGGCAAGGATGGCTGTGAGGGCCAGCACAGGCCCTGGCCCCTCCGCAAGGCCAGGAGAAGGTCAGGCCCTGCCTCCCACCCTTCCCCAGGGCCTATAGACCATATAGAAGGGAACGTGGGACCAGATTCCCTTTGAAATAGATGCCCTGGCTGCTGAGAGGAGCCAGGAAACCAAGGTTGTCAAGCAGCTGGCAACAGGAGACCAACCAGGATTTCAGGTGAAAGATGCAGGTAACTCCACCTAGGGATAGCAGCAAGAGACATGGATGGATAGAGGGAGGGCAGAAGGGACAGGAGGGAGGGAGGGACAGATAGATAGATGAAAGAAGGAAGGAATGGATGCATATTGGCTATTGTATTATCTACTGATACTATAACAAACAGCAACAGCTTGGCACTTTAAATAGTAAATGTTTGTAATCCCAGGGTTTCTGTTGACCGGGTTCAGAAAGACATGACTGGCCTACACCTTGTAGCCCAACAAGCTGCAGGACAGGTGCTGGCCAGGTCTGTGTTCTCAGGGGAAGGCTCGGCAGGGGAAGGATCTGCATCTCACCTCCCAGGGTTACCTGAGGATTCACTCCATGGACTGTTGGCCAGAGGCCGCCCTCAGTCCCTGCCACAGGGGCCTTTCCCACAGGACGGGGGAGTCAGCCGGCCAGGAGTCACGATCGATGCTTGCTCAGTCAGGGAAATGACAGTCGTTGCCTTTCCCAGACACACTAACGGAAGGAACTGCACAGGAAAGGGGACCCAGGAAGCCAGGGCCCCTGGCATCATCTGACAAGTTCCCTAGATGCTCAGGGCAGCACAGGAAGCTGCTGTGAGCTGGAGTTAGGAACAGAACGACAGACGCAGTTGCCTGGGGTGGTGGCAGTGCTAGTTCCGGGAAGACAAGGCAGGAGCTGAGAAGTTCAGCAGAGCCTGCTCCTAGTTCCAGAAAAAGCAGAGGTTGCTGGTGGGCCCCAGGGTGCTCAGGAGGGATGTGGAGGGGGGGAGTGGAGTCCTGCACAGACATCACCTGACCATCCGCCCGTGTGAGCCCCTGGGTTGGTCTGTCTGCGTGACAGGACAGACAGAAGCGCTGGGACCTCAGACGGCTCCGCCCCTCCAGGATCACAGGGCTTTGTGGCTATACCTGGGTGATAGTTTTTTTTAACCACCATCCCATTTGCTTTTCTTCCAGAACTTTCCTCCTCTGAAAAAGCAAACAGGTCTGAACAAGTAAGGCCAGCTCCATGTATCCAGAATCGACCACAGGCTCCCCCGCGCGGCTCTCCCTGCGACAGACAGGCTCCCCGGGGATGATTTACAGGTGAGCGGTGCCCCGGCCTCGCCAGGGCCCCTCCAGGGCCAGTCTCGGTTCCAAAGAGGGGTCTCAGGCCACCGCCCTTCCTTTGGGGGAAGGGAGGACTACACAGGGACCACAGGTCTGTTAGGTGCAGAGGACTCCAAACAAGGAATGGAAGCTTCTGAAAACCAGAGTGGGAAGAGATAGAGATAGAATGGGACTGAGCCAGGATGGATTCCTTTCTGGTCCCAGACTCTTCCAAAATTGTGTTTGAGATTGAGAGAGAGGCCCAGCAGTGAGAAAGAGGACCTTCCTGCCTTGGACCTCTCACCGCTCCTGGGGTCTCCATGGAACCCCAGCCCTCAAGGCTTGCCCATTTGGGTGCAGGCAAAGCTCGCAGGGCAACTTTGACCTCGTGGCCGGCACTTCCGGCTCCGGGAGTGTTTGGCCACCTGCAGAGGGCGCTGGTGCGAGCTGCTGGCTGCAGATAGGGCACCGGACACCAATATCCCTGTCACCACCAGAAAAGGTTGGAGCAGGGGGAGGACCCCAGCAGCCTATAGATCCTGGGAATTCAGACCCATCTAGATCATTCTCAGGGTCTGAGCCAGAATGGATGTCTGTAGAAAGTCCAGGGAAAGGAATGTCTGTCCTGAAAATGGCCCAGAAATCCCAGGAAGGGTGTGGGCATTAACCATGGGAACGCATGCCAGAAAGCATCTTCTGAAGCAAACTAAAACCCACTCACCCAGAGGTTTAGCTTGAGAACTGTGAGGCTCTGGGCCTCTGCTCAGAGTCCACTGGGTGGCGCTGCTGCAGCGCGTTTGGCACCTGGCTGTGTATCCCAGGAGCCGGCCAGAGCTGGTGGAGGGTGGGAACAGAGGCTGCCGGGTGTTGGCCATGCGTTCTGAGCTGGCACCTGCCTGTGGTTGATGCCAACTGTGCACTCTCTTCTCTCCTCTTCTCCCCCTTTTCCCTCCATTGCTGTCCGAAGTAATCGATATGGGAGTCCCAAAAGACAGCTCCAGTTTTACAGGTAATGAGCACTTCATTCTGCTTCCAACCCGGCGCGTCCAACACGAGGGTGTGTGTGGGAGGGCTGCGTCCATCCTGGGTGCGCCGGCCGGCTGGCGCTGATGACACCCAGGTCCCGCCTGCCTCTTGGTGCCATCCACAGAGCGTGTGTAATGCCATGATTTTTTTAAAATGTGCTATTGGGTTGTGTGTTAATTGTGTATTGTTAATTGTGTATTAATACACAATCAACCCACCAACTCTGACTTGAGCAAATGGAGTTCTGTTCTCGCCTTGCTTTCAGCCACCTAAGACCACTCGTCAGCGGGGGTGGGGGTGGGTGGTGGGCAGGACACTTGCCCAGGATGCATGACGTACTGGGTCCATCCCCAGCAGTGGATGATTCTGCCTGCCTGAGGCACGGGTCTGTGCTTCTTGGGTTACAAAAGTGAAGGCACCATGGTGCGTCCATCCCTTCTCCCTCTCGCCCTTGGGTTTGGGCTGATCTGTAAGCTGTGGAGCTTTGGCATGCATCGGAGCCTGATGCGTTTGTGCGATGTTTGTGTGATGTGGGTCCTGGTTGGGATTGCAGTGTCTTTCTGAAGCACTTTCTTGGTCAGATTAGAAGCAGGTGTTTGCCAGACACGAGCCTAGGTCTTGGCCCCATGCAGCATCCAGAGGCCCAGGTGTGGGGTCTGCAGGCTCCCCTTGGGCCACTCTGCCCCTTCCTCGAGCCCCACTTTCCCTCACCTGTGTCGCAGATACACCCTTCCTGGGAAGCTGGCGGGCCTAGGATGCCGGCTAGAACTGTGGGGATGTACAGGCCAGTGCTCTCTGTGAGCCTGAGCACTGAGTGGGGAGCCCGGGAAGCCAGCCCCCTCTGCCCGCCATGGCATCTGAGCACACCGCTCTGAGCAGTCAGCACCGGATTCTGCACCACCCTTCCTTCCCCACTGCCTCACCATCTCTGAACCTGACCCCGGCCTGGATGCTGAGCCAGTCGGCCCCACACCCCTGGTGTCTCCACTGAGGCCTCATTCACTCCTTTCAGCTCCAGAGAGAGGGCTGGCTGGCTCTTTGATTCTACAGAGGTTATGACTGGAGAAGACATTTGCCCGTGAGATCTGAACCTGGGCTTGCAAATGTTTTTATTGGATGAAATGCTTACATCATGCATAGCGTGTACACACACATTTATCCGTGTGACGAAATCTGACATGAGGAGCATGTGGCATTGGTCCCAGGATCTGACCAGTGAAACCACGCTTGCACCTGACCTGCATCCACAGAGAGCCTGGTCATACTCATTCTACAGGAGAAGGAAGGAAGTCAGAGCAACAGGCAAAAACCCCCAGGTGCAGACCTGCTGGCTCCCGGAGCCACACTCTTGGCAGGGGCCTGGTGAAATGCGGGTGTAACTGACTTGTACTGCGTCTCGTCCACCACTGGCCCACTGGCTGTTCTTTGAACTAGGGACTGCGGCTCATCCTGCTGTACACCCTGATCATCGCCAAGAACACATCTCTGCCAGAGAACAAGCTCCGAAGCCCTTCCTCCCACCTCTCAGCTCCGCATTCTCCTGCCCACAGCCCCTGGACTCCTGTCCTTTGGGTCTTTACAGCCATTTCTTCACATAGACCCTTGGGCAGGCCCTGTGATGAGGGCCCCAAAGGCTGGGGCCTTACTCTGCTGAGCAGCCTGCCTGCCCCTGCCAGGGAGCACCCCACCACTCAGCACTAAATGTGGCTGAGTTAAGAGAGAGCTATACTGAGTCAGTAAAGGCAGGCGTTCTGGGGAGTAGAAGTGTTCAAGGTGAGTGCCCTGCCCTTGAGCAGCTCCTGCATGAGTGAGTAAAGCTCTGTATCAGTCAGCTCTGCAAGGAGGGCTGCGTAACACAGCGCCCCAAGCCACAGTGCCCAGAGGCCAAAGCAACACAGGTGACTAGGTCCAAAGCCAGTGGGAGAAACATCCCCCCCCCCAGCAGTGGGAGGAGCCACGCAGCACACAGCCATGGTTCTGCAGAGAAGGGGGAGGATTTGGATTCACGGTCCACTTGAGAAATGTGGGAGCATCTGGAAGGCAGAGATGTCATGGAAGAAGTCCAAAGTACTACTGATGGTCTCAGTGAATGGCATGATCACACACACACCCTGCTGGAGGAGTCCAGGAAGGCCTCTCAGAGAAGGAGGCTGCTGCGGGGAGGAGGGGGCTTTGAAGGCAGGACCTTGGAGGCTGGACAAGATTGCGCACAGTGACGGAAGAACATTCCAGTAGATGCAACAACCACATGTGGAGATGTGCGTGGAGAGCAGGAAGTGATGGTGGCCCGGAGCGGATGTGGCATAGGACGGAGGCAGAGTGGGTGGGAGGGGAGGGGCCTGGAGGGCCGGGTGGAGGAGTTCAGGTACATTTGGTAGGCATTGGGGAGCACTGTGGTATTCAAGCAGTGTCAGGGTCAGAGCTAGAGTAGCAGGGAAGAAGATGGACAGCCAGGGGGACCGGATGCAAGGAGGCCAGGTAACAGCCTGGGAAAGATGAAACGGTGGGAGGGCCGGGGGCCACGGGCTCAGGGCAGGAACAGAGGGAGTCAGGACGTGTGACTTCAAGGCCCGGCAGGGCCTGAGACACGGAGAGGGACAAGGAGGCGATGCCTGCGTGCACAGGGGGGTTGAAGACCACCGTGCAGAAGTCAGGCCCAGGTCAGTCGGGTTTTTGTTTCTGTGATGAACTGCCTGAGGCAGACTGACTAGCTCACAGTCCAGGTCCAGGGGTCATCCACTGGCTTCCGAGGAGGGCCTCCTGGCGGAGGGCAGGAGCCGTCGGGGACTGTTCAGGGGTAAGCAACCCCACTTACACAGTTCACTCTGAAGAGAACTAATTTAGGGTCCCACAGAACTGCCTCCGTCTTTTCTGGAGCCCCTCCCCAAAGGCCGAAAGACCTTCCATCAGGCCCCACCTCTTCCGGCCCACCACCTCCCAACGTGGCCAGCAGCGCAGGGACCCTGAGGGATACGCCCCAAGCCTGCCCACAGCAGCCAGTAGGCCTGGAGAAAAACCCCAATCCAGTTGTTGTGGCCTTCCCACGTGCCAACACACCGCCACACATGGGGGTTCGGTGCCCCCCCACTTGGTCCACCTTCTCCACACCTGCACTGGTTCCCCATCTTCTCCCTCAGGGGATACCACCACCTCTGTTTGTCTGAATGAGAAACGGGTCAGTCTCCACCTAGAGTTCCACCGGCACTGGTGTGTCTTCTCAGCAGGACATTGTCTGTTGGCATCTAGGGGTGACAGGCAGCCCCCTGGGTATCTCCCCCCACCCCTGCGGGGTCGGAGAAGGGAGGGAAGGGCTCAGCACAGTCTCAAAGCCTTTTCCAGTCCCTGGATCGCGATGCGTGCCGGGTATGCCGTGCCCTGTCTGAAGGGAACATCAACGTGGTGTCTAGTGGGTTTCCAGAACTTTCCGTCCGTTTGTAGGTACTGACTGTCGAGGATAAAGCATGTGGGGAACATCCGGTGGAGGGAGGAACAGCTCGTGTGGAGGCCGAGCCTCTCTGGTCGCCATGTGCCCTGGCACCCCGACTCCCCCTATTACCATTTGGAACAGGGTGAGCCGAGTCCTCTGCTCGTCCTGCCCCTTTCTACCTGTGGCTCCCAGGATCCGTGTCTCTGGCCCTGGGGGTGGGAGGAGGCCTAGGAGAGAGCAGGACCCCCGCCTCACGCTGCACCCCAACCCTGAGTGCCGGGCGTGGGCATTGCCAGGCTGCACCACGGCACTGCACTTAGGGGAAGAGGCTCTCGTGAATAATTCAGCCTCTTCCACCGAGATGAAAACGCCCTAATAGAGCTAATGGGCTTGCTGCCTCCAAAGTCCACCCTTGTGGGATTCTCGCATTCGCCAATGGCCTCTGGCGCTCTGCAGCGACACTCCCTAATGAGGCCGTGGCCGTGCACATCCTCACATCCCTAATAACTGCACGGCCGCCCTCTTACGGAGCAGCTGCCGCCGAGGCAGGTGAGTCGGCCTGTGGGCCCCAGGAACTGAAATGGCGGCGGGGGGTGGGGGGTGCTAATTGGTGATGCTTTGGGCTGATCTGAAATAAGACCTTCTGCATTTCTTCCAAGCAGACAACTTCACAGAAAAAGCCAGCCCTGGCTGGGGTGAACTTGAGGTGACTGCTGGGTGGAGGGGGTTCGGGGTTCCCGCCTGGCAGCTCCGTGGCCGCCCCGTGTCCCGTGCTTGAGCCTGCTTGCCTCCCACCCTGCGCAGCGCTGGCCGGTCGACTTCCTTCCCGCCTTGCTGGGCTCCCCCTGGATTAAGATTCCCACTCTGGCTGGGAAAGGAGAGGGGGGTGCTCTGCCGGAGGGAGCCACGACGCTTGTTTGAGTCCAGGTGTGCCGATTCTCCGTGCCGGTGTGTGCGTTGCAGAGTTGCTCCCTGAATGGTGACCGCTCCCCTCAGTTTCCGCCTTCAGGACGTCTGGCTGGCCTCTGGTGTCTAGACAGATGCCATCCTGGGACGGAGGCGTGCGGGCTTCCTTCCCGGCCTCGCGCGTCGGGCATTGCGGCAGGCAGGGAACGGACCCCACCTGAGAAACCCCAGGCAGAAGGCGGGCGCGGGGGAGAGGTGGTGAGGCCGACCCGCCTAATGAGGTTAACAGCGGTTCATTTTTCCATGTCACGGCGTTTGTTCACGTGAATTCCCCTGGGCCCCGGGCCACAGGAATAGACTGGAAGGAGGCGGGCCCTGCACAGGAGAGAACTGCCAGGTGCTGTGTGGTTAGCGGCAGCCACGGGGGCTTATGAGACCAGGAGAGGGAGGGCGGCAGACTTCAGAGACCCTCACCCTGGGAGGCTGCAGGTCCTTGGCCAGGAGATGGGCCGGGGACCAAGGCTGAAGACCCAACCTTGAGCTTCCCTTCTTTCTCCCTGGCCACCCCTTATTCGGGGGCCCCCTTGTCCACACTCTGCTCCTCACCCCTGGAAAAAGCAGCCAGGGCTGGCGGCCCTCAGAGCCGGCCT